TTTTGCCATTTGCGAACGAGAGCCGTAACATTTTAGAAGAATCAGGCATTTGAAAATCAAAAACGTTAACAAGCGAATAATGTTTGAATGTTTTTTGTCCGCTGCAAACAATAGCGTTAAAAGTTTTGAAGAATACTAGATGTAATAGTGAACACAAACAATAATGATAAAATTTTCAAAGAATCAGATAATTGAAGCCGACAAGTTCTGAAAACAAAGTTGTTGTAGAGAATACCTTTGATAAATTGTCTGTCTGTCAGTTGCAGACGATGTTTGTATTGACAAATAAAGATGTTGTTTTTGTTGAGCAATAATATTTTAGAATAATCAAACAATTGGAGCTACATTTTTGAAAAGCAGCAGATTTGATCGTGAATATTTTCAGTAAAAATGTTTGTTAGTGTAAATGATACCTTCAGAATTTTTAAATATTCAGACAATTGAAGCTACATTTCAGAAAACAATAGATCCGATAGTAAATATTTGTAGCAAAAATACTCTTCAGATATCATGCGAGCCAAAAAGAAATCGAAAAATAAGCAAATAAGAGCTCCATTTTTGAAAAGCAGTAACGGTGAGAGTTGCTTGATACCAGACATAATTCATTATAGCCTCGCTGAAAATTGAACAAGGACATATTTGGTTTCTGATTGAATTTTTTGGATGCTTATCCCCACCTTCCGAAGAAACAAAGTATAAACCGAATGATTTCCGTACGTAAATGTATAAAACAATTTTATACCGATAAAAATCTAGTTTGACCAATCCAGAAACCCAATAACCTCTTATAGCATTATGCATTTCAAGGTGGCTCTGCATGTCCAATACACAATGAACGTCAAAAGACAGTTTTTACTATATGCATGAACGGAATGAAAAAAAAAAAACACACACACACACGAGCGAAACGGGGAAGGAAGCGTTCAAAAATGTGTTGTAATCATGTCAAAAAATATTTCACATATCCAGAAATTAAATTGAAAAACGTTGCGAACAAATTCCTCTTTCTGAATGAGTTGAAATGCTTTAAAATTTCAAATGACGTAAAAAGAAACGATAAAAATTGTTTGATAATTGTACTGAGCACTTTAATTTGCTTCAAGTTGCACCTTTTTTTTTGACAAATTGGGCCATTAATTCACTTTAGGCATTGAAATTGTTCTTTTAACATTTAGAATTCACATTAAATTAATTTCAATGTTTCTCTTTTGTAGAATCTCGGTGACCCGCTAAGGGAAAAAAGAAAATTTCAAAATGTTTACGTGTATTCGACTGCAAAGCGAAGAATGGATCAAGAGACTTTTGAACTTCGTTTCTGAAAATCCTAAAATTTTTGAGGTAACACACGGTGTTTGATAGTAAGCTTCCAAACTGCAACCATTTTCCACGACTAGTCATTTAATATTGCTTTTGAGCAAGGGCATTATTGCCCTACAACAGACAACTCACATCATAAATTGAAACTAGGCCTTCGTAAAACGTCAGCGTTGAATGGGATTTTGACCGAATTAAGACAAAAGATTGACATGATCACTTAACGAAGAGCTATCACCGTTTGATTTGAAAATGCAGCACCACCTTAAAATACTCTGCAATGTTATTACCTAGTAACATGTTTTCAAACTAAGGAGAGTTGGACGACTGTACATCACTTTGAAATTTTAAAAGACAAACGAAAAAAGAAAAAATACTCGAATTTCACAAGATACTTTAAGTAATGCATGCAAATGGCGACCGATAAAATTTAATTGAATCAAGTTGAAGATCGTTGGATAAAGAATGAAACTCTCCACATTCGAAAACGTGTACTAAATGACAACTCGAAAGCGGTTGAAACCTTTCCGGCAAAAGTGGCAGAATAATTAACCTTTACTCCCGAATTTAATTTTTTTTCACGCCCGAATGTAACTCGAATGTAAATATTTCAGCCGAGGGAAAAATTGAAACTTTCAACAATCAAACTGATTCTAGACTGCATAAATTTGAACTCGCATGTCAATTTTCTAGTTGCAAGGCTGCCATTTTTATCCGAAAGATTTCAATTTAACAAAATTCTGCAATGTTATTCTCAACTTTGTCTTCATTATCCCTGTTTGAATCCTTTTGATATCCTCTGGTCTTGCTGACGTTCCTGTCTTCAGTCGTTTACTCCCTAAAAATGTGTTAGATAAAACTTGGTGAGGAACAAACCAAAGTGTAGAAACAAACGAGTAAACGAAGAGTATAAGAATTCTCAGTGAATTGGTAAACACAAGCAGGCGTTGACAAGTGTAAGAAAAGTTGGACAAAGAAACGCCACGTTCTTACATGCCATAAAGAAAGATAAGCTCTCGACAAAACAACTGCTACGAAATTAAGCGTCTTGAATGGTTCTTGAACCAGCTTCCAAAAAGGTTTGCTTCGTTACTAAAGCCAAGGGAGTGTTCTGAAACCGGTTCGACACGCCGAGTCAGGCAAACGCACGTGGTAGGACTTTGAGCCGGTAGTTTTGGTAAAAATATTACCCTCGAAGGTAGAATTTACAGAATTTGTACTAACCATTGACAGAAATGGGTGTCTTCCCAAAAGGTCGTCGTCATTTCTTCTCCAAAGTAAGAATTTGCCTCTCGTGACGAAAAGAACGGAGCTCGTTTTACTCCAACAGCAAACATCCCAAAATGACAAACAAACACCTCGGATCAGAAACAATCAGCATGAATATGCAAACTAAGATTAGACCAATCAGATAACAAATACTTCACGAATTTTAACAACGTGCACCACCCTTTGCATACTTAATTCAGCGAAATGGTTGCATTTTCTTCGTTTCGGTATGAGTCCACGTGAACTCGTATGGTCTAAACAAACACAGTGTAAATAGGTTATTTTCAAAGATTATTAAGCCGCCGTCCACACTACGCCGGTAAAATTTTAAAACGCAACAGTCACCGGTCATTTTGGATTTGTGTTTGAGGAAAACTCGAGCAGGAAAATCACATAATTATTGTGACGTCATTGTTTTCGAACGACTCCGTTTTCGTGACGGATTAGTGTGGACGGGGCTTAACTTCTTTACAATTCTTGGATGTCTATCCCTCTCGTTATTATTTTTTTAAATTTGTAGCGTTTATTGACATTCAAACGTACAATAACTGTTTAATCATTACCATTTTTCTTTCATCACACGATCCGTTCCTCTTAAAGGAACTCAGTCACGGTATTTTGAGTTATTTTGGCCACATACAAAATTACCTTTAAATGGTAGGAAACCTGAAAATAACAGTTTAATAAGACTGAAAAATACCAAAGAGATAATGATAAACGATAAAGGAACAAGGATGGCTAAGGATGGAGAAGATTAACATGGATTACAAACGACGAATTTGAAAAATTGAGGCTAAACTTTTCAATGTGCGCAAACCGTGACTGAGCCCCTTTAATGTCACACTAAACCAGGCGGAAGGCCCAGCACAAGTTATGCTCAGGATAAGGGCCAAGCATAAATAAAGGTGGTTTAAATCGTGTTTTGCGGGAAATGCGAGATGTGACCATATGACAGTGTCAGACGGTCCTTGCGTTACTAGAGCCAGTCCCAGAAGCAAAGAATCGCGCGCTTGCCGGCGGTGAAATTGTTCTCTTTTCATTAAAAGTGTTTTTACTGCTTACTTAGTTCAAAAGAATAAAAAGAAGATATTATACCAAAAACAAAAATTCAGCAAGACACAAGCATGGAGTAAAGTTCCGTGAGTTCCCTGGCTGGTGTTGAACCCACAACTTTGCGAATGAAGTTCAGATACTTATACCAAGGACGAGAAAAAGGTTAGAAAAACCAAAACCGCAGCAAATTCGAGGGAAACGAAAAAGGCAACAGGAAACCTAAAGCGAAAGCACGGGGAAAACAGGAAGGAAACTCACGGGAACTCATTGGGGAACGGGTTTAGTATACAGGAGATCCTCGAAAACGCATAGGTCGGAAAGAAAGAAAAACTGACGCATGGGAAAACGGACCAGTAAATACATGTGCGAGCGCACAAGGAACGAAGTGGGACGCACGGGGTTGGCAATAGCTGAACACACTCGGAAACGCATGTTTGCAACCCACAGGGAATGTTGGGGGAGAACACGAGTTAAAGCACGAGGGAACGCAAAATGCAACGCAGAATATAACAGAAGAGTCAACGCATTAGGGAACTCTCGGCGGAAACCCATCAGGAAGCCGTTGGGGAAACTGGTAGGGTTGTAAATAGAGGAAAACAAGAGGGAAAAAATAGCGCCCCGTTTCCAAAATTTCCTGACAAAAGGCGTAGCTTAACAGCCACCTATTGCGCCTGCGTATGTTGCTTATGCTTATGAGTTGCGCGCTTGTGAAAACCAGCCTGAGGTCTAGTTCTAAGTACGACATAAGCACAAGCATAATTGTATGCCCACAAACATAAGAACCAGCACACGGCAGTGAGGACGCAGTATGGAACCGAAAAGATGGTAATTATCCATTCTGCGCAAGCCTACGTGCTTATGTTTGTGCTGATGTCATAGTGAAAACCAGGCTTAAACGGAAAAGCAAACTGCGAGCAACCCAACGGGAAACACAGGATAGAACGATACAGAGTTGTGGAAGGGGGATGGGGAAATCCACGGGAAACGAAAAGAAATCAGGGCGAAATAATGAAGTGGTAAAATCACTGTTAACATTTCTACCCTATCTGCGTTTTCAAATAACAGAACAAACACGGTGTTTTCTTGTCAGCTTTATTTCAAATTTTAGTCGGTTTGATTGACACATAACGTCGGTTATTTCACCTTCGCAAACGAAAACGTATTTTCAGTTACACCGGTTAGCGGTCAAGATATTTATATATGTAAGGCCTAATTTTCATGCCACTTTTAAGACCAGAACAGGTTCAAACAATGAGACATGCATGAAGCTTGAAACGTAAATTAAATGGGTGGAGGGACAGGGTGGTTCATGCGAGAGAGGGTCTTTTCTCAGTGCTCAGAAATGAAGGAAATACTCTATATCAATTACTGAGTTAAAGCCACTTCTATAAAGAAGGTGCTCTACAAAACGAGATGCAATCTACCAAAAATATCTGAAATGGGAAAGATGTGGAATTTTGCCGCGAAATTCTCCGCGCTTGTATCTAAGACGAATTTAATCTACTGACTTCTCCGTGACGGAAATGCAACATATAAATCAGTCCTCAGTCGCTCTCGTTAATTAAATAAAGCTCTGCATTATTAAATAAAGCTTTCAAATAGAGGCAAGAAATAAATTAAAGAAATCCATTGATGAAGAAATTTTTTCTCAGAGAGTCGTAAAAATATATATTATAACTTTTATAAAGTCTCACTGACAGTAATTCGTTGTTCATAGTTGCAGCTGTATGGCTGCTCTATGAATCCAGAAAAAAAAAACAAAATCCCTGCAACACTGTTCAGAAGCACTACACAATTATGAATGCATAACAGAGGTGTACCATATCCTGATCGAATATTCCCAAATTTCGTTGAACCTCAGCCATAACAGTGTCACAATTTTCGATCACTTTAATTCGTTCTGATAACCTTCAGATAAATTTAATTTACCTTGTTGAAGCACTCAAGTAATTAACATAATAAAAATATCGCTTCCGCGCAGTTCTGAAGAACTCCAAATCAATTTGCACTCTGCACCCAAAAATATAAATATAGCTTTTTAAAACATTTTTTCAAGATAACCTTTCCACTTTATATAATGTAATTTACAAAATAAAGTCATCTGTCCTTGGCGTTATGGTTTCTCCGAGCAGTCCGTGAGTCCAGCTTTTTCTAAAGCTGTCTGGAAACTTTCCAACGCTCTCCCAAGACTCAGGCAAAACCCGCGGGAGAGTGGGAACAAAGGATAATCCGGGGAAATCTTTTCAGATGACGTTGCACCTGCACATGCGCCTTGGTTCTCAGCGTTCAAACTCTTCCCTTCCGGAGAGGGTTGAAGATAACTTGCCCCACTTGTCTCAGGACCTTTTGCTTCCTTCACTGCGCCGTTTTCAGAGACGCCGTTGCTGTAAGCAAGTTCATTTTGGCTAATCTCTTCCTTGGGTTTCCGTTCACCAACACTACGACATCCGGGTACTGACATCGCTTGCAAGTCTTGCAATACGTCATTATCGATGGCGTTGACGTCACTACTGCTAGCAAGATCATTAAGACTGCCTTCCTCCATTGGTTGAGGTTCACTAACCGAGGCATCATTGCCAACAGGATTGCCATTATCACAGCTTGGCACAGCAGTTGCCTGTTCGTTGGACAGCTCGATCCAACGCTTGAATTTCCGTATCATTCTGCGAATGTTAGGACAAAAATGGTACAAGACATGAGTTTTGCAACGAACATCCCTGTTAGTGAGAATTCGGACACTAACCGTGGTACCCGTGGTATCCATATTAACCACGTTCTACCACATAGATCATTGTCTGTCTGTCTGTCTGTCAGTCTGTCATTCTGTCTGTCAGTCAGTCAGTCAGTCAGTCCGTCCGTCCGTACGTCTGGCTGTCTGTCCGTCTGTCTGTCTGTCTGTCTGTCTGTCTGTGTACGAAGAAAGGTAGAGAGGACCGACGACCGATTAACTGTCTAACTGGCGAAGCACGCCAGATGCCTGCCTGCCTGCCTCTGCCTAGTCGTCTGTTGAATTAACACCTTACCTTGACCCATGCTGAGCGAAGTGCAGTAGTATTTCTTTTTCCAGACCAGTAGGAGGTTTTTTGAGAAGTTTCTCCATTGATTGAACCAGTTTTAGTAATACCATTTCATTGTACAGGCGACTGTTCTCATGTCCCTCGGCTGTCCCTCTTTGTTTTTCGTACCCGGCCTCGTTGTAATATGGTTCACTACACAAGATTAGGCCTGAAGGAAAACAACCATGAATCAAAGGTGTTCTCGTATCCGGAAGGCGCTTTATAGCAAAGGTTTCTGTACCACGACGGAGACGCGGTGGCCTCACGCTTAGAACTCTTGTCTACGGATAAAGTGGTCCGGGTTCGAGCCCTGGCCGGGGATATAACGTTGTGTTCTTGGGGAAGTCAGGCTATACTCTCAAAGTGCTTCTCTCCACTCAGGTGTATAAATGGGTAGCGGCATTTTAAATGCTGAGGGGTAACCCTGCAATGGACGAGCATCCCATCCAAGTGGGAGTTGAAATACTCCAAGTCGCTTCATGTTACAGAAACCGGGATAAGCTCCGGCCTGGCTTGCATGCAGACTTTACCTTTCACCTTCTTTTTCCTTCTTTACTATGAATCGGCTAAGCTTATTGGTTTTCCCCTAAAGTGGGATACTAGTCCATCGCAAGCTAACCCCTGAGTTTTATCAGGTTTGCCCAAATAGTTTGCTTGTACCTATTTGAAAGCCTTGGTCGAGATATAAGGTGTGTCTGTGTGTCTGTGTGTGTCTGAATAACCATTTTTTCTTGGCCGATCCGAGCATGCAAGAAATGTTAGAAACAGTAGTGTCGACAATCCAAGGTCAAATTAACGTGCAAAATATAGCAAAAAAAACAACAAAAACAAATGAAAAACTGTCACTGCGGGAAACAGCATCACTTGACGTCATCATAGCAAAATATCTTTAATGGTCTAAAGCAATTTTCAATTGAGTGTCGTAAAACCAAAATCAAAGTAATCGCTCTAGCCAACAGATAATCCAGTGAACCAATCAAGACTTGAAGTCATAACATGTTGCTGACGCAAAGTGCGGGAAAACGTGCCCGAGAGAGTCACGATTGGTTTTGGTCTTACTCCTGATTGGATGAAAAAGTGGCGCAGAATTTTAAGCCGATCGTGTAGCGTAGTTGATGAAATACCAATTGTTCTTCGATACTGAAATGAAAACCGCTCTAAGCAAGGTGAAACGTTATTGGTATTGTAATAGAAAATACCTTGTATCGAAACCAAAACTTGCAAAACGTTTGACTTTGATGTCCACACCTCACTTCCACGCCCGGCCCAGGTCCCCAGCAGGCTCACGCAAACTTTTCCGTCATCGTAAAGGTTTGGGTTCAACCGGCCAGAACACTGCGACAAGTAAAAGAACACAGGGGGAGAGGCCGGGTAATCTGGAGGCAGGCGCACGTCAAATACGAACAGACCATGTTCGTATGGGGTGTCCACAGGTCCTGTGATCATGACCCTCAGAATGTCCTAGCACGAAAATGAAAAGAGCTCAATGAGGACTATTGACAAAGATCCTCAAAAGAAAGCCAACAGTATTCTTTACAATCTAGAACACGCAATTTAACAAAGAGGCTTTGTGCTCTTTGTGCAACTTTTTAGTATTTACATTTGAAGGACGGAATAATAAGCAGAGGCATATAGTGCTTTCTCCTTGCCATATAAATGCAATTTCACTCTAAAAACAGTGATATGAACATAGCGCACCATTCACTCGGACAAATGGCATGGATATCGTAAGTCAAAGTTCTATGTTCCATTAGTTCTTCAATCAAAATATTGACGGGGAAAACCAAGCCCTAGGAAGAAATTGACTAATGAGTTTCATCGCATCGTTCAAATATGTTTTATACGCCACTTCAGCTAGGAAAAAATATTTCATACTGCCATCAGTAACGTATACTTACTACAAGAAACACATTAATTGGCGAACACAATATTGCAGAAACTCAGCGCTTGTTAAGGGTTTCAAGGGCAAAGTGCTAGGGGTTTGTGGAGAACGTTTCAAAACTACTGCGGGAAGACTGGTAAGATGTAATAATAACTATGAAATTCCCCATCGAAATTTCCATAAATTTCTTCTCTGAAGACAACGTCCACACTACGCCTGAGAAATTTGAAAACGCAACAACAATCACCGCTAATTTTGAATTTGTGTTTGAGGAAAACTCGGGCAGGGAAATCCCGTCTTCACAGGTTTTATGTCCACACGAAAACACAAAGCCGGCGTTTTCAATTTCCTCCGGTTTAATAAGCGTTTTCGAAAAGCTCCGTTTTCGTGACGGATTAGTGTGGACGGAAGGCTTAACCGGAGAAATAAAGCTGCGTTTTCAAAGTTTGCCCGGCGTAGTGCCTAAGTACAGGATTCATTACAGTTGAGAAATGCCTTTGAATTTGCCAGCCGCGTACTTTGGCGGGAACTTTACAGTTCCCGCCAAAACACGCAGCTGTATTCTACCAACCCAGGGGGGTGGGGGGAGTCCCTACCAAGGGAATAATAAATACCCCCTTTATAGCTTCAGCCAGCACAACTAAGGTATTTTAATCACTGATTGGCATTCATTCATCAAGTAAAGTTGTCCACTCTTTCAACAATTAAGGCCTGTTCTGAAACTAGGACAAAAGTTGGGAGAAAAAACCTACCACCCGACTTTCATATCCCCTGACTATGATTCCACTCGGAAGTGAAAACATCAGCAAGGCCATTTCTTTTCTCAGGCATGACAGAAAGCGACCAGGATTTTGTGCTTGAAACGTTGAGAAAAAGTAGACATGGTCTTCAGGAACATTGTCAAACGTCATGAAAGCTGACGGAAGAGAGAAAAATAGTTATATTATTCTCAATCAGTTGTAAAATAAATGTTTTACGAATAAACGTTACTAAACTACAGTAGGGTCAGAACTATTTGTACATCCATTCACTTCAAAGTAAGAAACGTAGTAAATCTTATTATCAAATATGCGTGATAATACCCTCATATCATAACATTTCTCACTTGGCAAAGAAACGGGTTAAGTCATAAATTATGTTAAACAGTAACAATTATAGCGTTTGGCCGTCACACTGAGCTCGAGAATACTTGTCAAATCTATTCACATTGCTCTGCAGTCTACAGTCGGTCATTGCGAGCAGCCACCTGTTGCCTGTGTTTCTAAGACCGCGTCCACACTACACCGTAGGAGCTTGAAAACGGTGGTTTCACTGTAAAAACGCATCAAATGTTTCCTGTCCACACTACGCCGGAGGAACTTGAAAACGAAACAACAATCGGTCATTTTGGATTTGTGTTTCACGAAAACTCGGTCGGGGAATTCACATTATGGTGATGTCGTCGTTTTCGAACAGCTCCGTTTTTCAAAATATTTTCCGTTCACACTAAAACGCAAAGCCGGCGTTTTCAAATTCCTTCGGTTTGAAGAGCGTTTTCGAAAAGCTCTGTTTTCGTGACGGATTAGTGTGGAAGGCGTAGTGTGGAAGGGGCCTAAAGGAGGTCTGGTGTATGACTGATCCAAGGTCAAAAAGGAAAGCCCCATCGACGCTAGCTGGTTTCCATGCGGGTCTTATCCAAGCAGAGTTTAAATTTGGAAAGTTCATTTAGCGAAGGGGCAAAAAACGTGTTCCTCGAACCTTTGCACGAAACAAGACTATTAAAGCACTTTACCAGGATTCGTATTTGACATAATTTCATTGATTCTGTTGTTAGCTTCCTGTAGAGCTTCTCTGTCAACATTCTCTGTTCCTTCGTCACTAGCTATGGAACCGCTCCTTGGCACGTGATCCATGATGTCAGCAGGCGGTTCTTCCTCTGTGCTTTCTCCACTCGCTGTCTCCCATTCATCATCTGACGCAACTGTGGAGCCGTCTGTCGACAAATGACCATCTTCCTAAAACAACAAAAACGGGACGAAATCGTTTTCAACCTGCTCGACAAACAGCGCAAAACTGCGTTAAAAAAAGCGCAAAAACGTACATTTTACAAGACGTGTCGTAAATGTGACACACTTTACCAAAACGCGCCATGTCTAAAAGACGCCAGACGTGTCACAAAAGTGGCAAAGTCGTGTATTTACAGTGCCAAACGTGTATTTACTTATTGTACGGGTTCTTTTTCATGTGATGGCCACAGAAAGGAGAGAGAATAGACAAAATGAGAACTGTTCACTGTCTATAATTTGTTTGAAAACCATGGGTGCTTTCCATTATGCCAAACCCACCGGTCAGAGATCAGTAGAA